CATGGAAAAGCACCTACTGTTAGGAGATACAGATTTCCCTAAGGCTTCCATTAAGCAGATTATGAACATAACACATCATGAGTGCAGCACTAAAAAATATATATACATAATTCACCAGTACAATATTCTCAAGAAAAAAAAAGAACCAAAGATTCAGGCTGCACATAAGTGAAGAAATCATTTGTTTAATTTCCAAGTCTGTTCAAATGTTTGACTTTTCCCAGACAGGGAATAGAGCAAGCACTAAAAGCCTTTTTCACAAACAGCTATGAAATTGAGCTGCCTTCTTAGTTTATATTATTCTTTGCAAAGAAGCCATCCTCAAATGCGCATACTAATTTCCCCCTGAGAAAAGGAGCAGCAATAATCACCAAGTTGAATGCTAGCATATTTGTGACCTAGCCATCAAATCAGAATGTGTGAATTACAGTGCTGCCTTCTCCGCTGATGTTCAGAATTTAACATATGCCAGTTTACACAGGGCTTGGAGATGAAGAGCTGCTTTAAAGGGATGGAAAACATACGCCCCCTCTCCCTCTGGCACAAAAGAAGAAAATGCATGTTTGGTTGTAATGCAACAAAATCAATCACAGCTCTTTGATAATAGGTTTGTCTGAGCTCCCCTGGAAAATAGGACACTTGAGTATTCTTAAACTACAGTGGATGCTAGTCCAAAAGAGCCTTTGCTGTTGCAGCAAATGAGTGCCAAATGAAGGTGAATTAATTCCAAACAAGCCTCAGCAGAAACATTTGCTGCCATAGGAAGATGGAAAAAGTCTGGCAGGAGACAAAAAGGTTTGAACCAAAGTCAGGCCCTTACACCTACAAATGTGTGTCAGGTAAGCAGCACGGTGCCAAAATTCCAGGTTGGAAGTGGGTATCTGAAAGAATCACAAGAAAGTAATGAACGGGCCCAGGTTACTTAGTGGTCTTGCACTATGTGGGGAAAATATTAATTCCAGTAGCTCCAGACAAAAACAGGGAGCACCAGCAAGAGCAGAACTATGTTGCCCATTATACACTGAAGAACTAGAAAATACACGGTCTGTGATTATGGTTAGAAAACACAGCAGGAGTTTCTGCTTGTGTGTGGCTCCCTTTCATAGGGATACTATCAGACACAAAACCAGCCCCCAAAGTAAAAGCATCTCCAGATATTGCTCAAGTTATTACTACGCAACACAATTAATGGGGGTTCTTAAGACAAATGGAGCCTCCCAGCTTGGTTTTCTCTTCAGCTTGTTCAATAAATGGGGATGAAAACAAGGCCAAAGGTCCCTGCAAGTGTGTAACATATCTCAGTATGATTGATTCAAGACATTAGAACAAAATTGTTCTCAAGAGAAATTGCCATCGTGCAGCTAATTATAGCACAATAACCAGCTATATCATAAGTGTCTATACTACTGTATTTACTGCAATTCCAAGCCTGTCATGCATGCTTGAGCTCCTCACAGCAGCTCAACATCAAATCCTCGCTTGAGCTGCCTAGCCTCTGTCTCAAGTTTAAATTCTGTCCAGAACACACCAAGTAGTTGCAATTCCTAACATAACTCATCATCTAATCTTTTATCTACGCTTGTTTGCGTCCATCTAGTTCAGAGTTAATAGCTTTTTCCTCACCTACAAAAGCAATTGTCTAATACTGCTTTTAACTCTCAACTCCTCGCTGTTGTTGTGGCCACTATTTCTTGTATTCCAATATAGTATTTCAATAAAAACTTTGAGCCCTGTTGGCCTGCACACTGACAAGAGTAGCAGGTATTCCAGGCCCTAAGCTGGGCTGCAGAAGTCCTCCCTGTTACACAAGACCAAAAGAGTCAAAGGTAGTACGAAGTACAGCTTCATGTCGAGATGGATGCTGGAAATGACGAGTTAAGCAGCTTACCAAGAAAGAAGAAAAAAAAATCTCAACTCAAATTGCTATACTTAGTGTTTCAGTGTAAAATAGCTGTCTTTAAAGGATGCTTTCTTTCCTATTTGAAGTTTCTCAAATGAAGCTTGTTAAAAAAGCCTTCCAAGAAGCAGCTGTAGTGTAGTAGAAGGTGTGTAGTGACACAGTTGCAGCAAACCTTACTGACAGAGCAATAAAGCAATGCCCAGACTTACAAACACAACATCTTTTAAAGTGTTCAGGGAGCCTTATTAGAAAAAGTCAACATTCAGAGGACCTCTGCTTGCTCCTTTCTGGGGAAAGCATTAGCTTTCATCAACTTTCATTTTACTCTAACTTTCATCTCAAGTCAAGGTGCTCCTTTCTCGTCTCTGATGCTCCTTCTGCTCCAGACAGCAATTAAATCAAAGTCTCTGGCAGTGTTCATTACAGCTACCCAGGCTGTTATCTTACCCGAGGTAACCCTAGGTTAAAAGAAAATGCTTAAAACATCACTTGATCTTTAAAAAAAAAAAAAAAAAAAAAACACCCCACACACTCATGGAGAGTCACCTATATCTGAGTATTTCTACTGAATAACAATTCAACAGCATATTTTCCCAAACTATATTGTTTTCTCATTTTTAGTTTGAGCAGCTTTTACTTCCCTCCCCCCACCCCGAAGCAATACTTTCATTCACAGGCCTCTTTAAGACCCTGCACCCCAAAAGCGTGATATTTTTAATACAATAAGTGGCAAAAAGAAAAACAATCTTCAGCAATTCAACAGCCTACTCTCCAGCTTCCCTTGTATGTACCTCACCTTCCCAATCATTAGGGCTCCTGCATTTCAAAATACAAACAGGGATAAACTTTCTCCTGTGCACCTCTCTTCACCCACACATTCTCATGCCTCCACCTACCTGCTGTAGTTTTAACTTACAATTTCTAAGCTATATTTATAAGCCTAACCTACACAGAATTGATGAGGATAACTGCAGAGTGAGGACTTTTAAAAATATGCAAGTAGCTGGTATGTAAGGAAACAGAAATGCAGTATAAGAATCAGAAATGGCCAGAATAGCAAGACACTAACTGGAAGATAAGACCTCTCCGAACTCAGGAAAACCTTGGCCTTCAGAACTGAAGCAACTATATTTTAGATTAAGGAGTTAGCCATTTAACTTCTTCTTAGAAACATTGGAGAAAATTGGTAATTATGCAAGTACAAGAGTAGGGGAGTAAAAAGAGGTTGGAGCAAACAAGTACTGCAGGATCAAGCTCCTCCAAGAAGGAACACATCTAAACTTTAGCTTTTTTTCAGGGATTTATCTGCATTAAGACATGCTTCCCCCTGTATGGCTACGTAAGCAGCTTAGTGCAAGGCCCTCGGAAGGCCAGGCTCAGGCAGCAACAGGGACATGGGGACCTTTAGGGAACTAAAGCAGAAGTGGCTTCACTAGAAGCACTAGGAACAGCTCAACAGGCAGGACCTTAGAGGAGAGACTACCCGGCCCATTTCCACCCTTGCCCCATTTTCCATTTAACCTGCACATGCAGGATGTTGTGGAATTGCCCAAGCCATGCCAGTGCAATTGGTAAGACCATCAGTTTGAAACACTCACATTTGACAAGCTGAGGAAATGGACTTTAATACATTGAAAACTCATCAAAAGCAATTCATCTGGAAAGAAAAATTTCAAGCTCAGTGACTGAATCCTAGTTTGCCAAAGCTGTTAGCAAACAGCTCAGTAACATCCCGAGGGATAAGGCCATTTCATTTGCCTGGCTGTCAAGTGTTCCAGTAAAATAAGACTTTTTGTTTGGTTTAAAATAAAAATATTAAAAACTTTAATAGCTCAAGCACAATTTGCACACGGAATGAATGGTAGGTCCCTGGTAGGAAAAGGTCCCTGAAGGTGCAGCCAGATGGCTGGTGGGATTTAGAAAACCACTTACATTGGGCTCAGCCAGCCTGCTTGCCTTCTCCATTTATACAGGGCAGGGGAAAAATAAAGCATGTTTAAGCAAGAATATTAACCCTCTAAAGCAGCAAGGTAGTTATCTCGCACAGACTAAGAATTTATTGCTTCTTAAGTGAACCATCTTTGACCACTTTGTGAGTAATCAGTGCAATAACAAGACCTCTCTATACAGGAAAATGCAGGGAGAGGATAAGCTACATCTGCTTCCACTTACCAGTAAGTCTGGGATTCCTCTCCAAGAGAAAAAATAATTTATTGATTTATTTTGCACTTTATGATCTCCACATGTGACCCCATGTTCCTCTCTTGCATTGCCATTCACTCACTTCCCTCCTTGCAATCTTGTCACATTTACTTACATGCAACTTCAGAAGCAAAGTGTCCAGTTTGCAGAACTGGTTGCAAGAGAAGTCATTTTAAAACATGCGGTTATTTAGGTGCAGTACAGAGTTGCTGTAAGTTAAAAGGAATATTGAACAACAAAGACTATTTTTGGGGAGAACAGTTTTTCCAACTGATGCTCATGCTCAGCAATGACAGCACCACATAATCACTCCAATAGCTGCTGGGATCTCAGCTGTAGCACCCTACCTAACAAAACTGCCTCCACCTTTCCTTGTCCTGTATTATCATAGATAAGCTTCAATAAAACCCCGTAGGAAAAGAAATCCTGGCCAAACTCTAAGCAGAACAAAATTTACCCCAAGGTAAATAATAAAATCAATGAAGTTTGCACACTCTGCACAGCAGTTTGTGATGAATTACATTATATAACATTTTTCACTAACGCAGTTTTACTTTTCAAAATGGAAGTCAGATTTATTCAACATTAAGTGTAACAACATCCGAAATCAATATCCATTTATGAAATAAAGCAAAATAACAACATGAATAAACACAAGAAAATACTGTCCAAGACTCTCCAAGCAGGACGTTTCTCATAAGACTCACAGAAAATATGATTTTTATGCAAACAAAGACTTAATTCCCGAAACTCAGTTTCTTCCAGTTGTAAGCAAATATATAGCTAATGGGAGGTAAACTAGAAAGGGGAATGAAATGCATCATGCTGTACAACACCAAAGAAATACTCCAACTGCATTTGTGTACAGCATTAACAACATGCAGTAGATGAAGTTAAAGCAAGTACAGTGTGCATATATCAGAGAAACCCATCAGTCTCAGGGCTTTGTTTCTTATTTTAGTTCAACATAAGAAAACAAACAGTAGCTAAGAGCAAATAGAGGAAGAGGAGAATCTGCATGGAGGACAACATGCCTTCGCAAAACAGGAGAATACTAAGTTTTAAGCTCTGTATGTTTACTTGTCTTGGTCCTCTTCTGCTGTATTACTGAAACATCTAGATCCAGTGATGGGCTTTATGCAAATATCTACATTTTTATGAAGCTGCAATTAAAAAGAAATGCAAATCACTTCAATTCTGCTCAGCTTTCACTCGGGCATGAATATGCTGAATATTCACTACCATTCAATCTTACCTAAACAAGAAATAACAGGGCAGGGTACATCTCCCAAACTGCCTCACTGAAATATAGAGTGTTTAAATTTTTAGTTATTGTTGCTTGCAAGCAGTGTAAAAATACACAAGCCAAACAATTTCATTAAGAACTACTTAAACTTTAGACCAAAATCTGGCATGTTTGTTGGTTCAAGCCAGTCCACAACCTGGCATGTTTCTCATCTGAGTTTGCTGTGTTTTGTTTCTTAAACACCAACTTCTTAAACAAGCCCCCCAAGTTCTCCCGTAACTCCTCAGCTAATGCAAAGTAAGCAAACACACATGCAAGTTACTGTAATAGCCAAATATAATTAACTACAAAGTTCCGAGCAGCGAGTAGCTCTGCATTCATCTCGGGAGGCTCCTTCTTCCCAAGAGATGATTTGGAAGCTGATGAACACAGGTCACCTGGGTCACTTCGAAAGGTCTCTACCTTCTGCTTGGGGACTTCAGGAACCTATTTTTACCATCTATCACATTTAAAAAGTGTTCAAGGTGGAAACAGTTTTCTGCAGAAACAACTAACTTATCTCAGTAAGAACAGACTGATTGCTGACAGTTGGAGATTGACTCTTGAAGGACTGGATATACTGGCCTTAATATTAAATTAGTTCAGATTGGAAAATAATTTTGGCAACTCAGTTATGAGATAAAATTAACACATGAATCAGAAATTGAAAAGGATAACTCATCACTCCTGTACCACAGCAGAGGCAATGCCATATGTAGTCCAAGTGAAGCAGAGCAGCCTTTTTGCAAGGATATTTAACCATGATCTAGTCTTTAAAAAGAAATTTCTACCACTTATTAGCAATTCTCAGCTGAAAAATGTCCTGTATAGTGAAAGTCAGTATGAATCAAGTATCAACACCTGCATATTTTTTGTAACAGCAGAGGGATCACAAAGAACTGTGCAGAATAAGAGGAATGTATGGTGGGGAGGGCAGGAAATCTTAATTCAGATGTCTTCACACATACTAAACCATAAATCAACTTTAAGACACACAATAGAAACCATGACCCCAAACTACTCTGAGATCTGCTGAACAGGTAACTTAATGTGACAACTATCAAATTTAACACTGGGTAGAAAATGGAGAAAAAAAGAAACCAAGCAATGCCCTACAAAGCACTTCCAAAGAAGAAAGTTTGATTCTTGGATAAAGCCAAGAATCACTGATCTCAAAATCCCACAATGGAATGGACCTTCCCATCACCTGCAAGCTGAGTGAGTTCTAACCATTGCTTAGTGCTTGGACTTCAAAAAAATCAAAGACTTGGACACTTTTTCATCTTATGGGACAAGCAAGAGGAATTTCTTATTACTCTACTCAAATGAATTTTCCTTAACTCTCAGAGACCAGTCTTCCCAGTTCTTTTCAGAAGAACAGTAGACACACACCCACACCACAAATTTGGTGGACTTGGGATTCACAGCGGTAGTGAAATGAACGTATGAAGCCATTTTATTTCTGAAAGGCCAAAATGGGCTGGTGCTTAAGCAGTGTCAGGTGCAAGGGCAACTGGCAGCAACAGGTAAGCGTAACAGATTTATCAGAATCATGTCTTCTGCTTAGGCAAGATCTGGGGAACTAAGTAGATATTCAGACCCAGTAAAATGGCTCTTTATTTTTTTCTTTCCCTGTTACAACCAAAATTCATTTTAAAAGCCAGTAATAGAAAAATTTCCTAGCGCTCAGAATGATGCAGTTTTGGCAGACTATTCAATAAAGCTGCAATGTTCAGGAATCAATGGCCTAGAGCAAGTCTAACCAAGCACTCTTTCGAACAGGACAGTAACTCATCGCTTCAGTCACTGCACCTGGAACAGATAAGAAAGCCCTGTTCATCCTGTTTAATGTATTGAACATGTAGATAATCAAATACTAAACAGGTCCATGAGCCAGTAATAACTTTACTTGGCTTCAAAGATATTTGAAGTTAAGCGTTCAGGTTTATTTATGTTCTTCTCTCTTGTTTTCAAGTTTTAATGAAAAATAAATGCTTCTTTGCATGCATTATAAAACTAAGGCAGTAATCCTTCTCCAGCAATGAATCTTGGAAACGGGAATGAAACTGTTCTGAAACTCTAAAAGATGATTGCATACGAAATACTAATTAAAGCTTATCTTTGTCCTGGCAAACTGTTTTCACAAATACTCAGAAGCAAAAGGCCAAAATCTTGGAAGTTTCCATTTCTAATTAATTTTATCTTTGCAGGCTTTCAACCAATTGCAAAATTAATTGCCTAGATCAGGATGGCATCCATAAACATCATGAGACAAAGAGGAGTCAAGTTCCCTTTGGTTCATTACTATCTTGCTGCCCTCCAAGCAAGAAAGCACATTCTTAAAGCAACTTGTAACCTTGACCAAGATGGACTGTTTCAGCAAAGTGCCCATCAGAAGGTGAAGGGAAACCTATTATGTAGGTGCCAGGGAAGCAGGGAGATAAAAAGGCTACTGAAACACAATTGCAACTGACAAAGTACAATTTTTACTTAAATTCCAACATTGTCCGAGAAGAAAAAAGAAAAAAACACAACCATTTTAATTTTAAACTTGACCACAAGTAACCAAAAAATGCCCTTCCCTTAAGTTTTTTAAAGAAAAGAAAAACCTCTCCCAAGGATCAAAGAGAACTACAGAAGGGTTTGTCTTTGTTCAGTTACGGAGGTCTGGGTTTCTCACTCTCCTTCACAGCCCTAATTGCCAATGTACTTTCTGATATGCAGGAAAAACATCTGACAGGGCCTACTATAGATGAAAGACTTAAAGTCTTCAGGGAAAACCTTTATGGACAGTGTCCATAAATGGGCCCTGCCTTGACAAAAGTTTCAACATTAAGTACTTAAATAAGCAAGAATCTTCACCATCTATTTTTAGGTTCTCCAATAGTTCTTGGAGCATGGATTTTAGCTATAAAACCCTCATATACTCTGATCACAACCAGGCTGAGTCGAGAGCTTAGGAAGTCCTGAGCCATCTAAGGCTGATGACACTATAAGAATCGTGCCTATGATGACTGACATGTCTCACAGAAATCCTAGTGGTTGGACTCACCAACTGCCAGCTAGTTCAGATAAATTACGTCACTAATCAAGCAGGGGAAGAAACCTCAACGGACCTTCTAAAGCACCTCATCATCTCCTCACTCATTGAGACGCTGACAGGTCTCATAGGACTGACTCATGCCATAGGATTGACCTGATTCACGCCAGGTACTTCTTTTAAGGATGGATTTGCACAGAAGATCCTCCTTAGAGTCATCGCAACATTTCAACACATCCTTTTCATACATACATATATATAAATAGAAATATATATATATATATAATGTAGCTTTACAGCAGTGGCTCAAGGAAGCCCCTCCATCCGCCAGATGCCAAATGATTTTACTGGAATACAAATTCGCACGGTAAAAGGATGCTAAAAGTTTTCACTTCTACAGTAGTCGCATTGCAGTTAGAATGTGAACAGATCTAGGAGACAAGATGTGTAAGGACTGCATTAAAATACTGAAAAACAAAAGAAAAACCTACGAATTCCAAATTAATTACAGCCTTAATACAATACCCAGTACTTCTCCAAACGTATTAACTTGACCTTTTAGTTCCATTAAGGTTTATTTTATGAACTCAAAAAGCAGTTGGGTTTTTAAAGAAGCAGCTATAAAGTTACAGGACAGTTGGTAACAAACAGGGTGTTGGAAGCAGTTTGTACCCCAAAGGTCTGGGGAGCCAGTTTGAAGCCAAAACCTATTCCTGTGATAATCTCACCTGATTTGTTTGTACAATACCATATCATTTGCTCTTAAGGTGCATTGAATTGCCGGCTCAAAAAAATACAGCTTTTAAGGATTCAAAGCCAATAAATACACAACCACTTCCACTACTCAATTTTCTTACTATATAAAACTGAACTTGCCTGTTTAGGCTTCTCAGAATTTGCGCTTGTATGGTATCAATGTCGGGATTAAGCAGTCCTCTCTACTGCCTCCAAAGTACCGGTTTTCAGATGCAAATTATTTACTCTTCAGTATCAGAATGTTCCCTCATCTTCTTTGGTAGTGATAAGAGTTCCTCAAAACTCACACTGCAAGATCTAATCTCCAGCTGCAGATTTTGCTTTAAAAATTCAAATATTGCTGTAATGCTTTCAAGTGCAGACTTCAAATCTGAATGTTCTTGTGGTAGTGGTCTTTCCCATCCAGGTATCTGAGGCAAAACAAGTTCCCTATTTTTTTTTTTTTTGTTTGTTTTTAAACATAGTTTCCCTTTGTACATGTCCAATATATTAGGCTTTTTAACAACTCCAAATGCTCCGCACTGAAATGGTTCTGATGGCACATCCCTCTGAATGACTCCTGGTAAGAGTCCAACGCATACAGAGTGCACAATCTTTGTTCACAGGCATGTTACCTTGTGATGATTTTTTTTTTTTTTTCAGCTATAGTAGTTCAGTTTGATGACTGAGAATAGCACAATATCATGTTCTCATTTTCTGTTCCTATTTGCTTCTTCTCCAAATATTAACTAACATTGGGCTTCCTCTCTGCTTCTTTTCTATGTTCACAATGTACACAATTTTCAACCATTCTTTGTTGGACAGTAAAACTGTGGCTGCTTTCTGTTCTCTTAAATACACCAATGTTCCAAGACTTTTAAGGTATTCACAGGCACATCTAATATCTCCATCCAATTTTCAATGTCCTGTGTTATCTAGAAGTCCTGGACAGTAGAACTTCATATCTCTCGAGGGAACAAAGTTTAAAGCACGGTCAACTTTGGATTTCCCAGGGTTGGGCTAGTCCACGACCCTTGTTTCCAGAGTTACTGCTTTCACTTGTTAAATAAGATAAGCAGATAGCAGCCTGCCACATCCATTGGATTGTGGTCCTGAGACTGTCAAACACTTTGAAATCTATCCCTACTGGTCCTCCTCCTCCTCCGTTTCACTGGCCACAGTAAATGCTTCCCTTAATCTCACCACTTCACGAGGACACAACTAACACCAACTACGTACAGTGGAACCTAAAGAGAAGATGAAAGGAAAACAATATATCAGTGTCAATTAGCTACAGCTTTTGTTGCAGGCTACTCACTAGCGAATAGTTCAGGCAAGCAGCGAGTTAATTCTTCCATACAGCGCAGCGTATACGTATTGGCAAGGAACATGGCCCTCATGGCAGGTCACTGGCGGCAGCAGCTGTCACTGAGACAACTAGCATACCCCTGTGGAAGAGCTGAAATTATTTAGTCATCACTGGATCAATTGCTTGCGTTCATTAGAGCAAGGAGGATTTCTTTGGAATGTACCTCTAAAGAAATTCTTGCTCGGTATTAACATTTTTTCAGACAAACTGAATAAAAGGCACTGTTACTCGAGCAGTACATTTGTTGTCTCCAAGTGTTAAAAAAAATCTTTCTGAACAACTAGCTACTGTTTCCCTAAGAAGGCTTCTTTGTTACCCCATAGTAATTTCGTCTCTCCCTATAAAAGCTTACTTAACATAAAAACTGCTTATCCCGAAGCATGTCCAGAGTCTCACCTTTATATCTATCTTTATATCTAAAATTATGAGTTAGTATAACAGTATGCATTATAAAATTATACCATTTACTTCAGACATGTCTGAACAGCTAGATTTTCAAACTATACAAAAATAAAGTGTATGAAATCTTACAAAAGGAGGACATTAAGACATTAATGGTTAATCCAAAAAATATAACAATAACTTACACACAGCAGTAAGCATAAGCAATGTAGCCTACAACAGCTTTTGACAAACAGGACCTCTGAAACAAGCATCAGCTAAAATTGGAACATTCCCAAGCACAATAATGTTTCCAATTTATTATCTTTACCACAGTACAAACGTTTACAACCAAGTGTCCATTGTCTGTCAGTCTGTAAACAAAAGCTACTACCCGCCCCCCCTCATCTAGGAGGATGAATATTTTCAGTCCTCGGTCAAGTTTCATATCCATCACTTGCATAAGGAATCAAGAGCCTCTCCTCTTGTTAAATTATCTATATATCATTTTATCATACAGCCTGCAGTGAAGTAAAATCACAGTGAAAGTCCTGGGAAAAACATGATCTTTACAGCAGGACTTGACCCATTCTAATAATAAACGCATCTAACAAAGCTTCCCATAATAAAAGCGTGGCATTTCCATTTCCAGAAATCGAGTCTATTAGAAATCCTAGGATCTACTTAAAAATGCCAAAAGATCTAAAAGTGAAAAGATCCATCTTCTCAGTCACTTTAAAGTCTTTCAGTTTCAGTCGCGGAGAGACTTTTCCAGTCTGGAAAATAGTAGTGCAATTCAATTAGTTCTACTTCTTATTTTCTTAAAGTCCAGTAGATAAACGTCCTAGCTCTATGGAAAGATAAGAAGATGCTCTGGTAAACAAGAAACTTTGGCAAGCCCCGGAAGGCTTACTAGTCCATTAAAGCTTAGAAGTCCAAAGTGGCTTAAAAAAAACGTTTATGAATAAACTAAACCCCCAGAAATAAATAGGCAGAAATGACTGTAAACTGTCTGAACTTTTTAATGATTTGTCCTTGACAGCTGGCATGATCTTTGACAAAAGAGTCAGTTAAATAGAGTTGACCTACAGAGCATTCCATTAGGGCATTCAGTCGGGAATGCTCGAATGGAATTACATTCAAAAGATTTAAAAAATATAGAGTTTTTATATCATTCCTGTAGGTTTATTCTGTCCACCTCACTTACTCTTCTTCTTAAAGAGGCTTTTTATTTTTGATGGCTTTTTGTTTTTTTCACCGTTTTGGTACAGGTCCTTTGGGATACTACTTATCCTAGGGAAAGGAGAGGCTTCCTGGCTGGGTTTACTGTCGCTGCTGGCTGAGGAGCACGAGGTGTGGCGAGGCTTCGGGAGGGCGATCCCGCTTGAGAGCTGGTTCATGCTGCAGGACTTCTCAAGTATTCCATTGTACACTTTGCTCGCGGGGCTAAAGATCATGCTCTTTGTTTCTGCCATGCCTACGCAGTCAGGAGAGCCCCTGGAAATATCTGCAGTTAGAGAAGAGGAGTCTCCCGTAGAGGACTCCTCCAATGAGAGTTCTTCCCGGGATGCCTTCTGAGGAGAGAGTGCCTGGTACATCTCAAGACTTGATGGAGGAGACTGCTTCCTTCCAACGGATGAACTGAAGGAGTCGCACTCTGAGCCTGTCTCCGGGACTTCCCTGAGTCAGAGCAAGCACAGGAGAAACACCAAACCATCAGGTTTTTGCATTTTGGAAAAGAAAAGAAAAAAAAAAAAAACACAATTCAGAATCAATGCCGTTAGCCTGGATGCACCACCCACACTTTTCCTCAGCAATGAGATGAGAAAAAAAACATTAACATGAGTTTTAACTTAAAATGTTTAGAAGATACTGTACTTGAAGAAAGCCACACATATAACAGCATACTCCTCTACTTTTGCAGGTAGATTATTTCCTTCATCTGTCAATTTCAATAATTTATTACATTTCTACTAACTGGAGACATAGTTGAATCACAATATTAAAGCTACAATGAAGCAACATTAAACCATTTGATTATCAAACTTTAAGACAACATTTCTTTAATCTTGTTTTGGTGGGCAGTCATTTGCATCTCGCTTCAAGGAACAAAAACTACTTTGCTGGCGCATGAAATCAGAGAAGTTATGAAATCAAATGAGATTCAAGCCTAGCATATGCAAAAAGTTTCTTCAGGACAAGTGTCCCTACCTTTCAACAAGCTCATTTGCTCCTTCCAAAAGGAATTTAACCTTTTCCTATGAGGCCATGTAACAAGAGTAGGTACACGCTCAACATGCTGTAAGAATTGTGTTACCATCCATCTTCTCTTCGCCCAGTAGCTGACATTGCTTTTGATCCTAGTTTCAGATGTAAAAGCCAGTAACACATTGTAATGGAGAATCAGGGTTAGTTCAGCGCACCCTGGACTGTAACATTAATTTCATACAACATGCTAGCTATTTACATACACACAGCAGTGAAGAACTTAACCTCTAATGTTGCACCGACAGTCACAAATCATACTATCAGATCCCAAGTGCTGCTTGCTAGTCTCCATACCATTGCTTGTCAGCAGAGAAGTAAATGGCTTCCTCCTCCTCTTCGGTTCGATAAAGAGCAGGGCAGCTCGACACAGACAGGATGTCGGGGTCAGGGGAGTGCAGGGCCTGTTGGGACTGTGGAGATGATGGCACAACATTGCGTCTCGAGCGACACAAGCTGCTGCTTCTCGCCAGCGTGCTGGGAGGTTTGACAATGGACCCTGAGGCAAAGGAGAGAAAAAAAAAAAAAAAGGCGGGGGGAAGAACACCAAACCCCCAAATGACATCAATGTTACTGAGTATCAAATGGCAGGTGTCTGCTACAGCCGCAATGACTCGTGTCAATCACCTTCCCGTTGCTCAGCTGGTGCAAGAAGAGGGAGTTTGGCAGTCAGCGCCTGCCTTGCACACTCTGCAAGTCCCTGATGAAGCACCTGAGCAACATCCCAGGGCTGCACCTCTGTGCCTGCCTGTCCACCAAAACCTCCCGCTAACCACCCTGTCCGCAGGGCAAAGGGAAAGGCCCTACTGAAACTCCCAACCCTTTGTAAACAAAAAAGAGTGGTGCTGGGAGGAGTATTTTACATGATACCCCGCATTTTACTTCTGTGGTGAGCTGCAGCTAAAAGAATCTTCCAGAATTTTACAAGGTTTCCAAACAGTCATTTGAAATGCACTGCATCAGTTAGAAGCTACACTTAGACACAGGAGAACAATTATCATATATAAATACACACACTATTAGACATGAAATATCTAACTCAACTTCACTTCAAGAAGGAAAATTTCCTATTTAATAAAATTTCCTTTTTGCAGACTGTGCATTTCAGGACATAACTACACTAATAGGAGGACACAGCAGCGTAAAAGTTGACCAAGTATCTAACTGGAAGTCACATAAGCTCCTGATACAATTCCGCCTTCAGAAGCTGATTAGACAGTAATAATCCTTCAGAAATAGGTCTACAGACCTATTTTGAGTCTCAGGATTTCTTATATCCCCAACTATTCCACAGAATAACAGGACAGGACATGCCCTTATGTTCAAAATGCTTACCTAAAAGAAAGAGCACATTAACATAATAAATGATTTTTGCAGACCAGGATGTCTGGCCTGCCTGACACAGAACACACCTTCCTTTGAGATGTCACTTTAGCCTCAGGTAAATTAGCGTCCATTGCTGGAATCTCAGAAGTTTCAGCTGCCATTGTGCTTTTAGTGCAGCAAGTCACCACTCGGGACCAGCAACTGCAACTTAGCTGCACCTCACCAACACTTAGACTGTGTCTCCTTCCGGGCTGAACAGAAAAGGGTGACTCACAAGTCCGAGCATGACAGTTGTCATGTACAACTCAACCTTCTGATTTTACGTTTGATGAACTCTACACTGACCTGAGGAAAAGGTGTACACAGATCAAAAACAAGCTTGTGTCGTTAAACGTTCCTAAAAAAGCAGGTGTGAACTGAGAATATGGAGGCCCTTGAAAAATATCTGGATTGCATACATACATAAATTAGATGCCACTCTGCTTGCCGATGTAACACACAAAGTGCCCCAGTACTGAGCTTTGAGAGAAACTATAAGCATTCTGGATATTGTAAGTCTATATACACAGGATTACAAAAACTCTAGCTAAGCAAATGTAACACTTAGAATTTAATACAAATTAATATATCAAAGAATCAGCTGAATACTGATCAGTCAATAGAAAGGGAGAGGTTTCACTGTCCCCGTCTCCTGAAGCCCTTGTTCTAAGTCTAGTTCATATGTTTCCTTAGATCCTTTTGTTCTTTAGCCAAGGATTAACAGATATAATACTTTAGACTGCTTTAGACTATCACACTGATTGCAGAGGCACAAAGAAGTCTGACAGACTTCCAGCTCTGTTCATTGTGAGATCAAGGATGCTGGCCAGGAAATGGTCCAGACCAGACAGTTCAGTTCAAGTCCAGACATTGAAACAGTCTTGCTCATAACTGACCTGTCTGTAGACTGTATTTTGCCTGAAGTCTCATGAATGAGACAAGCCACTTTGCTTCTGTCCTTCCTCATGTGCATTTGTCTTTTTTTTTTTTTCCTGAAGAATGGGAATAATTTAGTAGTTATCAGCCTATCATACAGTAATTAGACTCCTCCTAAATTGCTGCTCTCAAGAAGATATCATTTAACATGTTTTCCCCCCTCTTTCCCCAATTCAAATCTTTCCATTTTTTTCACTGAGCATAAATAAAAAATATTTTTTTTAACCTTCAAAGATAAGCTGCTACTTCTCACGTGATGGTTTCATAAAAGCAGGCTATAGTACCGTGGCGAAACTCAGAAAACATTTAAAGTTCTTGTAATTCTACTAAGACATCTTTTATCACTGAATGACACAGTACTCATTACCTAGACTTCCAAAACAGCTGAAATGGGCTAAATGTAATCAAAAATTGAAACCACAAGGGCATAAGCATATAACAAAGTTTAATTTAAGTATGCCCTTATAAACTGCACGGTCCTTCTCTAATCCTAGTTGCTCTGAACCAACTGCACTTTGTTCTCTGGCTTCCTTCTCATGAAATAACCTAACAAGAAGGCTGAGTATTCTCAGAGAGCATGACTAAGATTAGTGGTTTAGGGGTCTGATGCACTAAGTGGCTTGGTATTTTAGACAATCTGGAAAGTTCTGATAACAAATAGAGTACTTGAGTACTTCATTTTGAAACTGATAAATCTTTACTCTAGGCATCACAAATCACTGTTTCTTTAATAAATACTGTTGCAAAGGTTTAAATCAAAGCCTTGATAGTGAAGGACAAGCTGAAGCAACATTATTCTTTAACAGTGACTAAAAGTCACTGTTATAGTGTCACAAAAGGATTAATGAACTTTAAAAGAGGCATGTAGGGTACTGTCAAAATATTCGTCCATCTCAAAGAAATCTGTGCCTCAATTTCACCAAAACAAGTCAATAAAACAAGTAAAGTAGAAACAATTCTCATGATGCTCCTTTTCAAATACAGTTCTCATTTCTTCTGAGAATGCAAGCCCAGGAAGAAAAGTGTACAAATATGACAGAGATTTCTTCCCTAGTCATTCTTCAGCTTGGTATCCCTTGTCTGAACAGTTATGTGGGAGCTCATCTTTTTAATTTGCCTCTGGAGTCCAGTTAATCACATCCTCTATAAAACAGGCTCTTGTATTGACGCAATGACTCAAGGCACAAGGGTGGTCCAAATCCCCAGTGTGTATCTTCTGATCATAGTTTAACTGAAGCTGCATTTCCCTCCCTTCAGCATTTGGCCTCTTAGCCTTGTTCTCAAACAACCCAGTGCATCCCAACACAAACATTCTGTCTGGAAGCTTCCCTTGGACAACAACAGGATTTTGTCCCAGCCATTACAGAACATTTTGAAAGCGCTGCCTCTCTCAAAGGGTGTGATCATCTTAGTAGCTCAAGGGACCCCTCAAAACCTCCGTCCCATCCTCCCTATGGTAAGAAAAATGAGCTAAGAGAACTTTTGCATTATAGTTTACAAATTTTGGTTTAGGACCAACCCTAGCACAATGATCAGACTTTTGAATCCTTAGCCGCCGCCTTCTGATTATCCCTCTTCTCCCCTCCCCAAAAATAACGTAGGAATAAAGGTTTGTTCTGTATTACTTTTATTGCAAACCCCAGCAAACCATTCTCTACAAATTCCAGCAGATGTACTTGGAAAACTACATAGCATTTTGTTCCCTGAGACTTTAGTCCACTTGTTACATTCCAGCATTCCTCTCCCACCTGCCCTTACATTTGCCCCTCAATTCCCTCAACCTTCACAACTTTCCTCCTTTTGCTTTGCTGAACACGCCACTTACCATGAAATTGTGAAACTATCGGAGGAGTATCTTCATCCAAGTCATCAACTCCCCCAGCAATCGGGTAAGGAGGAATGGAAACGCGGGGCATCACTACCCAGCTGTGTTCAGAGTACAGAGAGGATGTCAAGCTCGGGAGCCCAGAATTGTGCGCTATTTGGAAGCCACAAATCTTCTCGATCTGCTGCCAGCGATAGAGCCGCTCTCGCAAACACGTCGTCAGCTCAGAGAGCGCCTTCCTGAAAAAAGCATACAAGGTGAAAACTGTGTGCACTGTTCTTACAGAGCAATGGCTGTTCAACCATCCCAGCACACCAGGAAGCATTAAAGACTACAAATATTCCCACTACAATCTCCAGTTTCACTTAAGAGCACAAAAAACACATCAGAGGCTAAATTCTACATCACAATTCTTCGCAAAGCCTGTTGTTCCAGGAATAAGTGACAATTAACTAAAATCCTGCTAACTCTTACTTTGCTTCAAGTATTTTATGGTCCACATCATCCAGTGAGGAGCTGTGTGCAACATGCAGTGTTCCAAACACGGTGCTTCGCTTCTTTTTTATCTTTTCTGCCTGAAACACAGAATAAAATTAAATGCATAAGATAAGTTATCCCATTAATGCAGGTCATGAAACACTAGCAATACTGATATGCAGGATATATCTGCAAAGCAGAAAAACTATCCAACCTCTCAAGCAAATAATTTGCACCTGCTAGTCCATATATCAGAGCACCAGATCAGAAAAGTCTCTAAGTGGCTAAATAATAAAAGTTAGTACCTCATCTTTGGCAATTGCTAATTGCATTTCTGCATGTTGTCTTTTGATATTGTAATACTGTACTTCAACTTCATGTGTTAACTGAAGCCATTTCTGCAAAGCTTCAGGAACAGACCAGTTGCTTCTCAGCTCAAACTCCTTCTCAGCCTTTTTTAAAGCCATTCGAACCTATCAAAAAATATAAAAGTTTCATCAAGACCATCACTAGAACCGACAGCAGAAGTGAAATATAAACACATTTTCCCCCCTCCGCAGAGTAATAACCCTGAAGTTTTGCACAGCTTCAATGTGTGCCAGTGGCCATTAAGAAGGCAGATCAGGCATTTGTGAACCACAGTATATCACTTTCCACATTTTATATTACTCTCAGATTTTTTTCCTACCAGTATAGTCGCAAACCTGATGTTTCAATATACTTCTAATGCAAGAAGTTTTGAGTTAGTTCTATAAACTAATCCATTACCACTCAGAAGAATGCAACAAAGCTCTTATTTCTGGTCTGATAACAAGATAGTAAAAAAACTTCTTCTGGTGTGTATTATGTTCTCTACACTTAAATACATGATGAATAGTATATTGTATGAATCATATATAGTATTACGAATATAGCCTAATACACAATCCATGTTTCTTTTCATAGCTTTGAGAGCATTTTACTAGACAATGCATATGACTGATGGACAATGACAAGCATTAAGTGATTTATATTTTTTCATTGAAATCTAGCATCAGAGAAATGCTCTGATGCTAAACATCAGCTAAAACCATCAACTTAAAGTCAATGCTAAAATTACAGTTTGCAGGTACCTGTACTAGCTCTTCCTCTGCATATTTGAGCCTGCTCAGCTCACATTCAGCTCCTTCCCTCAGCTCTCGCAGTCGATGGGCTTCCCGTTTTGCATCATTGATTTCATCCATCATTTTGCGCTCCAGATTTTGCTTTTCCACAGCAACATTTCTGTTTTCTTCTTGTGCCTTTTCAAGCCTGAGGTGAGCAAGAATAAGAAAATATACAGTGTATTTGCTACAAGTCTTGGTATAAGTCAACAGAAGGAAGAACAAGAACATGCAAACAGCATGAATCAGCAGCAATTATATCCAAGCCAGTAAGAAAACTGCAGGCCACAATACCAGATAAAATATGGACACTTTAGGGTGAACCTTCATTAAAGATGTAAAGGGAATAAAGTACCAAACAAAACCGACCTACAGAAGGCACAGATATACTACAGAAGCTACCAATTAAAAAAAAAAAAGAGAGAGAGAGAGAGAGAGATAAGAGATAATCTCATTTCTAAGTCAAGAAACTATAGATTCCGAGGTAAACTGTGATTTATGAAAAAAAGACCACAAACAAAAAACCCCCAGGTTTCTGACTCACAGAATCATAGAACAGTTGTGGTTGGAAGAGACCTTTAGAGACCACCTGGCCCAACCTCTTTGCTCAAGCGGCAACAGCTACAGTAAGTTTCCAGGGACCACATCCAATTAGGTTTTAAAGAGCACCAGTGATGGATCTGATACAACCTCTCCACATAGCAGTTTCAATGTTCAACCACCCCCCACAGTAAAGAAATGTCTTCTTGTTTAAGTGGAAAATCAATAAATAAAAAGACAACTGAAGCTCTATATTCTTTACTTGCATCCTTAGGTTCATATTACATTCTAAAACATCCAGACACAATTTTAACCAAAAAAATGTTACTAAAATGGGAATTTCTGTGAAAAATGAAGATGAACAAAATTCAAAGACAGCTTAAAATCAAGTCACTTATGACTTTAAACAATCTGTATTTGTACTTCACCTCAAAATAAAAACAAGTACAACTCATTGAAGAGTTGAGGGGGTTTTTTTAGTTCTTATACCTTTCCTGCAAGTCAAGAAGACTTTGCTCTGCTGTTTGGAGACTTTCCAAGTCCTTCATCATTTTTGTGATATGTTCTCTCGAGGTCCTGTTCTGAGTGTATGCAAACCAGCAGCCACCAAACCCAATCACTATAGAAACCGTTAACACAAAATCCTTCATCCAGTTGTGAGGGGGACCTGAACAGAGAACAACATGATCATTATCTACACAGTTGGTACAGAAAGCCACCGTGGAAATGGCCTGTTCACAGCCTACAGGTGATGGAACATGATGCTAAACAGAAATCCAGCTCATTTATCTCAAACCTCCTCTCTGACAACCCCCTTTCCAAAGCATCTGAGAGGATTTCCAAAGCAACATACAAAATCTATACTAAAACTTTACATCACATACAGCAAAGCTCTATAATCTTTTACATGACACAGTCTGTATCTTTATACAGAGTTTAATTATAGCCTTACAAATTGCAACTGGAAAAACTAGGAGAAACTTTGAAGTCAAGCTATGCTTTGAATAAATTCACACTAATCTGTTCCCTGCACTATTCAATGACAAGAAAAAAGTTCACTTGTCTGAAATAAAGTAGATTTTTAAAGGACTCTACTGCTAGCAGCAACACTCAAAAAGCAAAGTCTGAATTCTAAAACTGTTTTATCTGACATTCAGATGCAATTTGCTTGTACATTTTTTGCAGTTATATAAACTTCTGTAAAACAGACATTTAAAACACAACTTCTGTTAATTCTGATCGCAAAACAGGCAATTAATTTCCTAATGTGAAGATTGGAAGTTTAATTGCTTCAATATAACTAGTGCAGCATATATCAGTTTTTCAAGAACCTGGGGCTCTGTTTTGAAGAATAACCACTTCAACCTAAGACTTAACCAGGCCTTGGATTTTTGTCTCTATGACTTCAGCAGACCACGGCCTTGTCCCAATTCTATCGACTAAACTAACAGTCAAGTATGAAACACCAAAGCACGTTTCAGATCATGACAGTTACAGCTTAAGAGCTGCAGATCCATAACCAGTTTCGTTGTGGATCTGTTTCACATCACAAGGGCTATGGGGACAAACATGCCACGGCTCAGCAGCTCTGGTAAAGGCCTGTGCAAGAACTGCACTGGTTTCAGGGCTAATCAGCTTCCACCAGCAGCAAGAGAAGAGAACAAAAAAGAATCTCAGCTATGATAATGCTGCATAACTAAGCCGCTATGGCAGAATTAAGCATCTCAGAACTGCTCCAATGGAAGAGGGAGCCCTAAAGATACACATGAAGACAGTGTGTTAGACCCCCTGCCCTAAAAATCTGACTGCCCAGGGCTGTGCTACCTTTTTAAGAGCCACTGCCTAGTTTCCTAAACGACCATCCAGCTCTCAGAGGGCTTCCTAATTCAGGGATACCACCAAGCAAGCCTGTGGACCACTGAAGGTAAGGAGGCATCTCCATGAGCTAAAATGGAGCAGATGCTGAACTGTAACATTAAATCCAAGCATACTTAAACCCAAGTCTGCGCAAAAGAGACTGGGACTGGCTCTGCACCACTACCACTGCCTTGTTTTGGAGGATAGGCTGTAACGTTAGCTGGAAGTAGTAACTTAAACACAGCCAAAAACACAGATAGGGTTTTTTTTTGGTGACAGAAAAGGCAATATACATCAGTCTAGGGAGGGATATACTAAAATTACTGCAGAACCTTACATATGCCAGCAGCCAGTTTACTCGATTCCAACACCTTGAGTGCTTTTTCCTTCCAGCTCCACAACACATGCCAAATAATCCATCAATATACATCTACAAAACAAAACAAGCTGTCCTACATACAGCGAGAAATGTCACTGAAACCATTTTTTATACTGAATTCTCACAATTCATGGTAAGAAATAAAACAACAAAAATACTAACGTGTGAGTGGTCCAAACAGAACAACATCCAAGGCTTTCAGCTGAAGCTTCTGTCTGTGGCTCCGGTCAATTATTTTCAGGTGTGAAATCATGAAAGCATGTTCATTTGCTGCAATCCTGTTAATGATACAAGAGTGTTACCTACTTCTTCGTAAGCTTTAGCCAGAACTGGTCAAAGTGTAGTCACTTTTCCCACACAGTTTTATATATTTTTACAGCGACACAATTAAAACAGAATAGGATATATGATAGTGACAGTTGTGTCATCAAAAAACATCTCAGCATGTGTTAGAATGAGAAGTATAAAACGGTATTTTCTGTTTCCTATTCTTTACTTTCTGAAACCGTTTCAAAATAAATCTACTAGGCACAGACAAATGGTACCAGCTTATCTGCAGGTCTTGTGTCACCCATTCTTCTAAATGCAATATTGGAATCTAGCAGTTAGGCTCAAGAGCAGGGGTTCTGCCAACAGTGCTGATGTTTACCCAAACAACACGCTAGAAATCGTGCAAAACGAAGTTAGATACCATACACAGTCATCACTGTCAATAAAAGCTGCAGCAGCAAGACATAAGGTGGAAGGAGTGGCAGGAAGGAAATTTTATCTGGAAATAATTTGGCAGGAATAATAACAACATTTCTTCAGAATCGCACTTCTTTTCTTGCATTTGAGCACATTTGTTTAGGCTCAGACAGTTGTTCCAAAAACGGACAAAAGCAGCAACCTACAGGGAATCATTTGAGACTGACACAGGGGGAATATTCACCTGGGAAGCGTTGTTCCTTTCACATTGCTGTCTCTAAAATTCTTTTCATATTGGGGCAATTCAACAAATTCTGACAGCCACTGAAGAGTCTCCTCTTGGGTCCAGTTATGAACTGGAAGAAAAACATTTGCTTAATAACACTGATAATCAGAAACAGCAGCAGCATGATTCAAAAGGCAAGTGACAGAAAAGCAGACTACAACAAGCAAAGTTTTGTTTTTTCTTAATATAATTATAGATAAATGAGTACTCACCTTTGCTAAATATGTTTCTGGCATTTTGCCATTTTCATTATATGCTCCTCACAGTAGCAGTCCAGGCAAGTTTTAAACAAACAAGTGTGTAACCAACAAGAAACATGTCTTTATTAAAAATTCCAGAGAATATTTGAGATTTCTCTCCCCCCTCCCTGAAGTAATACAGTATCTTGTGACTTTTATCTACTGATGTGAACCTCAATTTTTTTCCTCTGGCCTCTCCCAGGACAAGGCCTTATCTGCTTGTTTTCACTAGAATCTTCATAGCAGCTCATGCCTTCAAATGACAAAAAAAGGGGGCAGAAAAGACCAAAAGAAAATATTTCAGAACATGTCCACACAACATGACCATTTAAGTCACTCCTAGGACATTCTGCATTATACAAAATAATAATCCCACTGAGAAAATAATATTTTAGAGTGTGTAGATTAGGTCAATTTTCCACTGGATTCATAACTGCAAGGGTCTACATAGCCGTTCATAGCTACAGATGCTATAAGAAAACAAGGAAATGCTATCCACAGATTTTGCTATAAATCATCAGCTTCTGGCCAATACATGCTCCCAGCTGCTGCTGCTTCCACCTTCACACTGCCCAAAGCAGGGAGCAGCCGTGCTCTCCTCTTCGCTCTGCAGCAGCTCGTCTGCATCGCAAGACAAACCCCAGGACCACCACCTCCTGCACAGGGGTCTATTTGCATGAAGAGACACCTGATTTTAAGAAATATTTGCCCTCTCAAGCTGTACTTGCATCTGATAACACTGGGCACAGGTTTTCTTTGGGAAACTTATGTCCTGAAGGCACATTCTCAGTGAACTTGCACAATCACTCCTGAGAAACAAGTGGCTTAGCACTCAACAGGAAAGCTGCAAACGGCTGAAACTTGTGCTAGTTCAAATTCCTATTGCAGCCTACTGCACTACCACATGTACACCGAGAACAAAATTATTCTTATTTCCCTTGGTATAACTTAAAGTCAAGTCTAAACACTTCAGATTCTCATCATTCCAGATGACCAGAACCAGAACACATTTCACAGGTCCTAAAAATAGGTCTCTAAAAAGTTAACGATGCAAAACAGCTTGCCTTATATCTATGCAAATGGCTACACACACACCCCGCCTTTTCAGAAGGACACTCTCCCATTTCCTTCTGTGCTCTACTTTGTCATATTATTTCAAGATTCGATGCAAGATGTTTCAGCTTCATTTACAAACAGGTCATTTTCACAGGTCACTGTAAAAGCTCTCAATTGTTTCTCAAATATGAAACAATAATATTTACAAGTTATTTTGAGCATCTCAGAAAAAGAATGTTAAGACTGAAGAAAACATCAACTAAACTTCTCTTCTGAAAGTGTCTTCACAAATTCATTTAAAGAACACTGCTTTGATTTGACACAGCCAAAACAAACCACAACAAACCACCTATACATTTAAGAAAGCTAGGTGAGATACACAAACAGGAACTGGACAGAAAACTATTCAAATTATAGCAGTCAACCACAGCCAGGCAATGCATGGAAGGTCCCAAGATGAAGCTGCACCACATGTGCAACAGTTGTACTCAGCTGAAAAGTCATTTTCTGCCTTTTTCCCCCCTGGAACCTGCTGTACCACTTACAGGTTAGCTCTGCACAGGCAGAAGGTCAGAGTCGGCCCCCTGAGGCCCTTGGTGTCCTGGGTGGGACAGAACCGCACCAGCCCCTTCTTCCCCCCTTCTCTAACTGCTCTGGAAGCCCAGATTTACCTCTCCCTCCCTCCGTTCTTTTTTCAGTTGATATCTTCTAGTTCTTCCAACACTACTGAAGACAAATCAAGCAATACTTGTGACAAATACATAAATATATTCTAACACAGCACACAGCACTGAAGTAAATGGGCCTTCTTATTCAGCAGCAGCAGTTGTGGCTGACTGAAATGTGATCGGAGAGGAGGGATCTCTGCTGCCTGCGCTGAAGGTCACGGGAGCCTGTTGAAACTCGGCTCCTTCTGCACTGCCAATTAGAATGTGACAGCCCCTATTAATTAGCTGAGGTAATAAATGTTTCCTTATTTTAAGCACCTAAAAAATAGTCCTTCAGATCCTGCAGTAGCAGGTGATGACTACTGTGTATTAAAGGCATAGAACAAAAAGATTAAGCATAAAATTCTTCCCTCACACCTACTTCAGACAGTGTGAGAGAAAGGATGTCAGCAGCATGTCCCAGGCAGGCAGCTGCAGGAGCCACAGGCTTTACTCCCCTGTGCAGCACTTAGCCTTGTAGGAACTGCTCTATTCTTGTTCGCTTTTGTCATCTGCAATAACATGACTGGAAGTGAGAGAGGCAAGAGCTGCTTCAAACTGATCCAGCACAGGAGTTGCTCCTTGTCAACCTCTGTTCATGACTGAAAAGAAGGTGGGACTGCCTGTCACTTCATTCATGTATTATAGCAAGGAATGAATGATAGCCAAATACTAAGTTTAAAATTGAGAATACGTGAACCAGGCAAGACAATGTCACCAACTTCAGACAGTTCTGTATTGAACATACAGGAGGATTCAAGAGCTAGTTTTGCTTTAGCAGGACTTTCACCAGCAGCATTAGCACAAAACAAGCTGTTGCCAGCACACTTTTAAACAGTATTGAAAAGCAAAGGAGACAGAAGCAGCTGAAGTGCGCAGCTAAGGGCAGATTAGCTTTTCAAGGGTTTGACATTAGAGCTACTCTTACTTCCCCTTGCAGAGGAGGGGCAGCCTGCAGCAGGGTGCTGCTCCCAGCTGGCCAGGCTGCTGGGCACGGCCATCCTGGGCACGGCCTCTCTGCGCTTCCCAGCCCACAATCCCAAGACCCACGGCAGCCGCCTGCTAAGAAGGGCCAGCGCGACCGCAGCCTCTCCGTGGGGCACAACTGCCTCCTCCCGTTGCTGCAAGGCCACTTGCTGTGCTGTGCGACCTCGGGCTAGAACCAGGGATCACAGACGCACATGACAGAGGGGAAAGAAGGGGAGTTAAGAGAAAAATAAAAGCCACAGCGAGGGTGGAGCTGTTATAGAGAAGTCCTCAGCTTACAGAGCACCCTGCGCATTGCAGACCAAGCAGCCCCAACGGCAAGGCAAGGCTTTCTGCAATCTGGAAAACCAACCTCTGAGAGGGCTCATTAGTGTGCCAATAATGAAATAACGAAGCAGTGGGGAACCCCAGGGCTGCTACTACTGTTTCATATTGCCACAAAAAGCAAGTTTGAGGGACAGTGCCACATTCCCCCAAACGGCAGCATCTTACCCATTCCACAGACAGGTCAGCAGAGACAGGTCAGTAAAGACTCACCTTGGGTTACTGCCAAATTGGTTCCCTCTTAAGCAGGGCTCTCAAAAGCTCTGCACTGATTTTAGCCTCCCTTACTGCCAAAGACCTAGACACCTCTCTCCTGATAGCACCCAAATTCACACAGGTTCAGCCCCCTCTGTGAGGGAAAGGTGGCAGACACCCCTGAGAAACAGAATTCCTTTGCAAAGGAATTGCATGAAGGCTGAAATTCAGACACACAAAGCAAACAGCCATCTACCATCTTTGCTGCCTTCACAGCTACCACTGCCTTAAGGCCCCTGCAGAAAAAACACCCAAGCTGCACCTTCCAATTCAGCCCACAAAACACCAGGCTTGAATTGTTTAAAGACTTGAGTACACACATAAATCCTGTTTAGTTAAGAAAGAACAGGAGACAGTCAAGACAAACACCATAAAACAAGCACACACCAGAAGGACTTCTGGAAGGCAGCTGCTTCTTGTGCTTCTAACACTTGCTAGTTCTTTGCTATGGCTCTAAAGTTCCCTGTCTACGGCCTCAGATTACAAAATCAAAAAGTCACACAAAACGTAAAGAACAACTAAAATTACAGTCTTGTTTTGTACCAAAGGACTCAAAAGTACATTGCAACACAGCAACATTAAGCTAGGTATGGCTGATTTCAGCTATGACTTGATTCTTTCTTTGCATGAGAACTACAGCAGCCCTCAGTTCAAATTTCTATAATTTGCAGCAGCACAGAATATCCCCTAAGGATTCAAAAAACCCACAAACAAACAAAAAAACCACACTTTAAAGACTCAAATTTAACATGGATGCAATTTTCAGAGTTCCACATAAACAGTCACTTCAAATACCCCTTCCCAAGCTATTAAATATAACCTCCACTTTTCTTAATCCCAGGAGACCAACAGACAAGCAAGTGTACTTGCTTTTCCATAAACTGTGCCCTTTACTTCTTCCCTCAAACCTTATTCATCTTTTAAGACTGATATTTTAAGCAGAACATGAACATTTCACATTAACAGGCACAGTTCAGAAATCTTTATGGAAAAAGCAATTCTGCTCAGCATAAATTAAGGTGTCGTAGATGCAAAAGACACCACAGGCCAATGGGAGTCTAATAAGGGCTTCCCACTGGTGCTACTTCAGTTTCCTCAGCAGGATTCAGAGCAAAGTCACCATAAGCAACCACAGCACAACGTGACACTCCTTCAGTAACAGACCTCAATCTTGTAAGGCCAACTCCTGCTGTTCACTATATTCAAGAGAAATGTGCTAAGCTGTATACAACAGACAGATCTTCTGCCGTTACTAAACAGTGGGTTTTAAAAGAGTTAGCCATAAGCTCGTAACAGTCAGAACAATAACTGTAGTCAAGTAATTTGCTCTGCAATTCTCTTCTGCTGCAGTTTTAATTTAGTTGCAATATATTCATTCTGCAGAATCCTCTTTAATAAATACCTGGAGAACATTTAAAGAGATTGGCCTAAAAATTACTGACCGAAATCTAGACATATAGCACATACAATACCCAGAAAACACTTTTAATTCAACTTAGTATATTATCCCATACTGCATTCAAATGACTTCCTATATTAGCTGGATCAATGACATCTTCCTAGTTTTATTCCTCATTGGTTGCTACTTTGATATCAAGTGATACCAACTTTTAGGCTTGTGTTCACCACGAGCACACCTAAATGGGAGGGAAAAAGCAGGGCAGGGAGCCTAGGTAGTTATTTTGATTCAAATGGGGGGAGTGGGTGAGGATTATTCCAATATCACCAAGAGAAACAAGGTTTTTCAAAACACTATAGACAAAGAATTTCAGTTCTCGATAGCCCAAAAGCATTTGGATAAAAATAAAAATACGTGGATTTTTTTTTTTTTTTAATTAGTATGCTATATTACATACATTTTAAGAAAAAGAGTCTGAGGGCAGACTCTAAGGCTTGCTTACATTAAAGCACATTTATCAGCAGTTCAATGCTTGCAACAGTTACTTTCATATATTATAACTTCTTACTGGTGCCTATGCCACCTATCTCAATTTATCCAGTACATTCAGAGGAAGTTAACACCAGCTGAACTGAGCTTTCATTTGTGTTTACATACTATCCACAGTTCATAAAAACCAATACCAGTTTTTCAGGATGCTTGAAAAGAGACAGTGTAATTCAATTGATGAAGATTAATAAATTATGTTTTTTTAATAGCCATTCTTCCCAGCAGCTCCTTTTTACCTACCTTCAGAGGTTTTCCAGCGTTTCCACAGATCCTCAATGGTGATGTGTTTATCTTCCCTGTGCAGGTGACTGTGCTTATTGGAGGCATCCTTATATTGCATATCTTCCCTTAGAAACTGAAGGAAAGGAAAAACATGATATTAAATTCCAATACAGCAATCAATTTCTAAATAGAGGCTGCAAGTGAATCAGGCAGAAGAGAACCGTCATTAACCCTTCTCCACACAAGCAGCACATGACTCATGCAAGGTGACCACTTCAGAGGCTCAAAGGGGAGATTAAGGCTTCTTTCAGGAAATGCTGCTGCAATCAGATCCCAGGAAAAGTGAAGCTGCAGTTATTAGCACAACAAATTTGACAGCACTAAATACAGCTTAGATCTACAGTTATTTATCATGAATGCATCAAGTCCTACTGCATGCTTCTCTGTTTTAAAGATAATCACTTCATCTAATTGAAGTCAAGCCCACGTGTGATTTGAAGACACCCCAGTCCTTTCTGAATGAATCCCTTCCAAACTCCGCTATTCCGGCTACATTGCTTATGATGGGATAAAGGTTAGCTACATATAAAACCTTTTCGTTAAGCAACCAAAAAAAATTGAGTTCTTTTTCATCAAATTAAAAAGCATAGTTATCTTAAATCTACTTTTTCATCATAAAAAAAAAAGCCCTGAACAGTTGTATTCCAAGCACAGAAGATTACACCAAGCTATCTCATTCATTGCAACTCACAAAAAGTCTCATCCAAAATACTAAACTTTGCATGTTTGCAAAGCATACGACCAAAACAGAGATCATGCGATCACGTCACTTATACTTATGGTATACCAATATCTACTAAGTCACAAGCAAGCAAGTTTTCTCCCAACATGAGCCAAAAAGCCACGGAAATGGAAACGTCCTGGAGGATATCATCACAGCTAGGGGCACTGTCAGGAAAAGTGGATGCCACAGACACTTAATAAGTCCCAAGCTGAGGAACAGTCCACTGTTGTCAGTGTCCTTAGTTCCTCCCAGGCTGGGATGCCAGTGGTCGAGTGCAAGTTCAATTGCACTGTTGCTCCAGTTACTATACCCTAAATTAGTCCCTTTCATCCTCTCTTATCTGCTACCTCCCTTTCCCCACCCCCCCTTTTTAATTTATTTACAGATTTAACTGATATTTTAGAGCTACAATTCAAAAGAGAGACAGGAAGAGACAGAGATTTATTACAGATGTGAAGGACAGATGAGATCCAAATGAACAGGATACGCAGGAAAGAACAGAGAATAAATACAACTGAATGAGACTAACTCTGACCATACTTTCTAATATCAGAAAGGTCCAGGATGCTTGCAATAAAACTTCCTTTAATAAGCACAGCTAGAAACATATATGCATGCAAGTACATACACATGTGCACGTATATGTATATAAACACACACATACAGTGTGCGCCTTGCTCGTCTCCAGGCCAAACAGTCCCAGTTCAGCAGTACATAGGAGACAAAGTTCAAATGCAGACTCTTTGGTAGAGCAAAAGCCTGTCCCTTCTGGCATATTAGGATCTGCAACGTTACCTAATGTGCAATAATTTCAGCCAAAGAGCAGTAGAAACACCAAGCACATTATTTAAGTCACTGTTCTTAAGAGAAAATTTCACAGCCTTTTCTCTGAGCGCTCTGGCTGCCCACTGCTCCACACAGCAAGGTCAGTTTTGCTGCACACACTTATAGGAGAACTCATAAAACTCTCACCTCACTTCATATCATATCATTCATACAAACACGTATCCCAAACCAGCTTGTTACTGCTCACTTCTGAAGTATCACAGGACTACAAGGCTAAAATTATAGCTGGAAATTGCTTAATAACATAAAAAGGAAATGGAAGAGATCAGTAAATGGGGATATTGCCCAGTCATCAGGCTTGCAGAAGAAAGCCGAGGCTGTTGTTAGCACCCTTCCCACACTGCCCGTCACAGCAAGTGGGATGGAATAAATTCAAGTTCACAATTATGGACATTGAAGTAGAACTTAAAATGAGCCAGGGGAATTGCAGTGTCCCCCACACTTGAAGTGATGAGCCACAAACTGCAGATCAATAAGAGCAGCGCAAGCTGAGAAAGGCAGCATGGGCATAAGGTTCACTCAGAATTAATTTCTCAATTTAAATAGAAGCAGAAAACCTAGTGATGCACAAACAGCAAATTACTTCCATTTAACTAGATGGTTTGCAAGCAACTTATCAATATTTCTTCTTGCTGATATGGCAGGTTTTGAAGAAGTCCATTAACAGCTCACATCAGATCACATAGTCCCCTTTGTGATTCATGTCACCTTTAGTTTCTGCTGCTATAAACTAATAGGTTAAGGTGGCATTTCAATTTCCTTACCAAATTAGGGCTAGAGTTGGTCTTATTTTGCATGTTAAAATAGTCAAAACTAGTTAGATCTTTGATATTCATATTGCATTTCATAATTCATATTGCATCTAGTCAGCAACCTGCTTGAATGCCCTCAGTTTACAGATTCTTTGCTCCTTAAACATTATAAAAGTCTCAAAATACCCACATATCCCTTTAGTACCATTTTAAATAAAGGGGTGGGAGGCAAATTTTCTGTCCGCATTCATGATTTGATTTCCATGAGTCGGACCTTCTTTGAACAGAGGGTTAGAGCTGATGAAGGTTCCTCCCAACCGAAATCATTCTACAAACTTTAAACCCTGACTGTACAAGGACACATTTTTCCTTACCATCTCTTAATTCTTTCACTTCTTCAGTGTTAAAATCCTAACCACAGAAGAGGGTCCTGGACCGGACCAGTCTGGTGTTTTGAAAACCCAAAATCATATTTACAGTCAAAACCACATTTACAAAATACATGCGAACAGCTGAAGACAGAAGCTTGTCCTGGGACAGAAGCAAATTTCTAAGCACCAGGGACCAACTATAAAAAGGGGCACCACAGATAAAGGGCTGGTTCCTGTCCCTATACACACATCTGTACATCCACACAGAAATACCTGCCCCGTGACCTCTGCTGCATATTCCACAGCCCACATGTGAACTCCGAGTACTTCTCAGATTGGCACAACAGCTCCAGGCTGGGCGATCCTCACAACTACCATGCAATACACACAGAGAAATCAACGAGCTCATTTTTTCCCCACTCGTAAATTAGAAAAGACTGAAGAAAAGGCACTAACCAGGAAGAGGAGAAAAGATTACCTGTTCAAATGACCATTTCTAAACCTGTCTAGATCAAGTACAACCTTACAGTCAATGCAACGGGGAAAAAAAACTGATGTTGCTTGACCTACCTTTCCTCTCCAGTCATTATGTACCTACTAACCCCAACATGTCCTGGGGACATGTTTGGGGAGCTTGTAATAAAAAAGCACTGAAGAGACAATTACGTTGTGGACCTCTCCTCTAAAGGTTGTCTCCATCCATAAGAGGATTAAGGCTGACTTAACATTCATTCTTCGACTTGCTGGGTAGTGATATACTGACCCTGGAAACTCCAGCTGGCCCGTATGGACATTTAATTGTCTTAAAACCAGGCGTCCTAGGCTAATGGTTTTTCTAAAGATGAACAGACTGGCACATATGCTGTATCTACAGGGGATTTGGACACATGTGGCATCTTCTCAGTTAAAGATGTCCTTCAGATCAGTTTTGCTCCTAAGAAACAAATCGTCTGTTTTTCTGTGCTGCTAATTAACAGCAAAGGATATGAACAATTGTAGGACAAGGATATCTGAACAGTTACAGGTGCTATCCAGGAAAACATGCATTGCTGTTTAGAACTATGTAAAATGCTACATATTGAGATAGAAATAAGGTAGATAAATCAAAAGCCTTCAAGGTGTTGCATCTCATCTCATAGCAGCATAAGGTGCTAGAAGAACATGTTCTGAATTTAACTTACCTGAGCCTCTAGATAAGAAGTGCAAAGAACTATTTGTGCAGAAGTTGCAACGTTTCTTGTTATTCTGCTACAAAGCCAGGAGAGGGAGCAAGAGTTAACATATAAACTGATGTTCTCACAACAGTGCCAGGAACACGGTGCTAACCACTTGAGAGAAGAAAATCTGCAAAGCTTAATTACAAATGTCACCACAAATACAGAAAACAAGCCTAAGTAAAGCACAACAGAATGTGCTGTGAGGACAGGACAACAGCATAAGAACTGGTTTGCACTATGAGACTGCTTGAAGCATTCACCTTTTTCTTTATTCTTTCTTTTGGAAGAGCAAACCAATGCACACAGAACCCTGAGTTGGCTGCATTTAAAAAAGGAAAAAACAGGAGAGACTCCTCAGAGTGACTGCGCGTTTACATATGATTTCTCCAAGATAAAAAGCTCCTCTTGTATTTGATCCTATGCAATTGCTCTCATTTCCTGAGAAAATAATCAACTTCTATATGTCCTGTAACACAGGTCTGACAAGAGTAAATTTTAAAGTCTGCAGCTGTAAAACGACGACGAGATTGTCATTTTTCAAAGAAACAAATGCATTCACCTCATGAATGAGTATGATCAACAAGCATTATTTGCTTAATATTTTTCTTCCAAAGTTGGCCTAATATGGGAGGTCTCTTAAGAAAAGGAATTATGCCCTAAATTGAAGAAAGACAAAAAAACAAACACACGCTCTGATAAATTCTGATAAAGCAAAAAGATTTTTTTTGTTGTTCCTTGCCATGGCAGCTAATCTCTCCTCAGTTGCCCTGGTCATTAAGCATACAGAGAAAAGGTTAGAAAAATAACTCTAAATAAGGAGGTAGGAACAAATTCTGAGAGAAAGCATCTAGGGATTATCTTAGCCAACATAATTGCTTAAGAGGGAGACGGCCTTTTTAGACTACAAAGTTGAAACCAATAAAGCAGTTAGGCTACATAAAGATCATGTGAAACTATGAACAGCAAGCAACTGCCACATGAGATACTGAAAAAATCAAACAGGAATAAAAGACCCCAAAACTGAGTTTTGATCCCCCAGAGTACATCTCACATACTGTGCCAGTCAGCCAGTTCTCAGTACGAAGCCCAGGACGCAGCAGCGTGTGGGAAGGAACCGTCCTGCCTGCAGCAAACACCACTGCAGGGCTGGGCTAGGGAATGGA